GGGGAACTTGAACAAATTGCTGGCAAAAATTGGATGGAAAGACGATGTCTATGTCAGATTGTCTTCATAGAAAATCCTCTCCTTTACTTCCTCTGTGGCTTCTTGGACAGCAAGAAAGCTCAGACTAGAGCACCCAGTGGGTCCTGCCAATTTTAGATCCCTGGCTTGGAGGAGCTCCAGCCACCAGCTCAATGGAGCTGACACAAGGCCATGCAATAACTTCTTTTCAGTCAACCAAAGTGGTGACCCTGTTTTCTTTGCCCTGAAGAGTTTTGCCTGCAGTGATGGAGTACATGGAAGTGACAGTTCCTCATTTTACCTTGGAAACTACATAATGGGTAAAGAATACCCATTTGGGCTGTGTGATTTAAGGTTATATTACGTGCCATTCATTGGCTAACTTAGTCACAGCTGCTTGGTGGTTTTTTGCAAGTGTCACAGGTTTGTGCCAGAACTGCCTACAAAAGCAAGCGATTGTTTTTTCTTTTTGGCAGGCGGCTGAAGTAATGCAGAAAACTTGACAACCGACCAGCAGCGGTGTTAGCCATGTGAGAGTGGTATTTCTAAAAGGTGCCCATAGGTGCCTTCCAGCAGGTCTTCACCAGGTAGTCCTTTTTACAGTCATGGCTGGGTGCTGGTGATCAAGTGGGATGATGACAAGCAGCCGCATCCCTTGTTCTGCGCCTTGGGAGGGGAAGCAAACGTGTTAGTGACATGAAGTTGCATGGTCCCACACCAGCAATCAGCAAGTGTTGTAGGGCTAGCAATCACGTAGCTTCAGCTTAAGCAGGACAGCCCTCATGAAGATCTGAATTTGTCCAGATACCTCTAAATATGAAGCTGTTGCTAAGCTCACAGAGACGAGGAAGAGACAGTTTAGTTCTCCAGCTCCGATGCCCTCGGGTGTGAGATCTGCTCCCTGTTCAGCCTCCTGCAGTTTTGTTTCTCGACACCTTCTCTAGCTGCTTTCACAATCCTTTAGATCAGGACGTTGAGGACGCATCTTGCTGACATACTGTTTGCCTGGGGAGCCTGGATGGGTTTGTGTTGGGTTCAAGTCCAGTTCACAGTGTTTTGCACTGATGAGTGTTGACAGGAGTGCAGGCAGCAGGTTTGGGCAGAGCAGGGGAACAGCTCCCAAGAATGCAGCCTGGAGGAAGGAAGGAAGAAGGAAGAAGAAAAGAAGAAAGTGAAAGATTTATGAAAATCCGTACCAAAGTACAATGAAATTAGCAGCTGGCTTTGTCAGAGCAGGCAGGAGCTCTTTTGCAGAGGCAATTGGCCTGGGAAAAGCAAGCACTTGAACTATGGAAAGGGATAACACTTAGTGTTGTGTTAGGTTTTTTAAATTCTTCCTTGGCATGGAATTTGGATACTGAGTTTTGCCACAAAAGGTTGGAAAGAGATCAAAATGATGACATGTCCCTATGTAATAGGGCAGGGAAAGCTGGATTTCCAGCCTGACTTTGACACAGTTTTGTCCTGGGCAACTCACCAAACCTCTCTGGGCTTCCCTCTCTTTATATATAAACTGTTATGATGCCCATTTGCCAGGGGTGTTAGGTGGACTTTACAGGTTTTTCAATTATTTGATATCCTCTTTGGGGATTTTGCAGAGTGATTTTATTCTTCATCCCTTAAATGTTAAGAAAAATCACAAAAAGTATGTTGCGGAGGGGAACAAGTTTAATAAGAAATGCCTGCAGCATCCTTTGCCATTCAGATGTTTGTAACAGAACACTCAAGATGAATGAATGAATGGATGAAAACCACAGCCAAGACTTGTGGAGCTGAGCTGCTCCAAGGTGGAGCTGCCGAGAGCTGAGCTCTGTGTGCCCAGTGCTCTGCTGAACCACGTGGACCTCAGGTGGGGATTTCTGAAGGAAAAGATGGGCTTTCCATCTCCATCATCCTGCGTTTGCATTTGGAGATGTCACTGTCCTCCTTGTGTTGTCTCTTCTCTCTCTCATTTGACACTGATGTTTTTTCCTCCAAACCCAGCTCTCTCCAGCGCCCTATGAGATAGTGATCCCCAAATGTCAGACACAGAGAGGTAGCAGAGAGGCTCTGAATCTGTCTCTGCTGTTTAGTGGAGCGAATAGAAATGGCTTTTGAAGTACTTTCCCATTGCTCCAACTGGCTTGGCATTAAAAATCAGCACCCTTCAGGAACAGAAATTGCCTGTCCTTGGTTTCTAAACCGCACGCTTTGAGAGCAAGCTGCTTAACGTTTTGCCATTCAAGAGAGCAGTCGGCAATCGCCAGCCGTCAGAGCCCCGGCAGCATCTCTGCCTCACGTTAAGCAAATCTTGCATTTTATATACGTATCAGCCAGGCATCGCCTACTGCCTGTCTGTCTCCTGTCAGAGAGACATTATTCCTGTTCAGCTCCATCATGTACAGCCTGCTATAGGGTACATAGCATTTTTGCTGATACGAGCCTGGCAGGTAACGGCATCTGACTCTGAATCAGTCAGAGCTTCAGTTCCCCAGCAATTAATTCCTACCACGGCAGTGATGCAAATGCATCAGCCCGGGCCTTTCCCGTGCTGTTGTCGAATGCGGCTGCCCTTGGCTGCGTTTCGGTGGCTTTCTTGGCATCTTTCCCTTGCTCAGACTTTGGATAATCCTGTTCCCTGTGGGTTCTTCTCTTTCTGACACTGCAGATGCCCTCCAAGGGGTTATCTGTGTCTTTTTGCTAGAAAAAACACATAGCAAGCCCACAGTTTGGATAGGATTGAATTGATGGACTGAATTAGCTCGTTCTGCTTGTGGTGCTGGGGAAGTCTCTCTCAAGCTGGATGGGTGGACCAGGGAAGGAGCTTCAGATTTGTCATTCTCCTGATGTATCTCCCAGTATCAGTCCGCTGGTTTACTGGGCTGGGGTACACAGATACAGCTGCCAGTGCACATGGGTGACGGTGCTCTGCATGGGGTGGAGCACTTATCCTGCACTGGGGGGACGGGGAGGGCTCGGAGGTGGGAGGATTAGGTGGACAGTGGTGTGGCCGTGGGGTGACTGAGGGTTTGGGCTGTGACACAGACTCAGTTGCTGCTGTGGGTCTGCCTGGCTGTGGGGAACGCCAGGTTCATGGGAGCGCAGGCAGCGGGGACTGCTGGATCTCACGGGGGGGAGAGGTGTGTGCTCTGCTTGTGCTGGCTCAGCTGTGCGAGCGAGCTGTAAATAATGTGTGAGGAGGGGATCACCGCGGGCTCTGAAATGAAAACACCCGTGCTGGTTGCTGGGTGGCCACGCACGCCCATTCTGAGGGGCAGAGTGAGGTCCCGCGTTTTAAAAACAAGCTCCGCTGCAACATATGCCCTATATAGAATAAAGAAACAAAGGAAAGGCTGCTGACAGCTTTAAATATTTCCACCACTTCCATCTGCATCAAGTTATCAGCCCGTTTGCAGTCCCGCATGCCAGCCGTCGGATGCGCCGGTTGGATTTATGGTGCTCTCTGTGGTTAGCACACAGCATTAGCAACAGCACGGGCTTTGCCATTGCACTTATTTATGGCAGATGTGGATGGCTTTGCCAGACGTTCAGTAAAGTCTCTTTGAGGACCTGGAGAAAGTATTTGGCATAGGATTTCATGACTCCAGACAGAAATGTGTATGTGTGTGTGCATTTTTTCTTGCTTTAGGTTTTTATATCATGGAAATATTTTATATTGCTTACACCTGTAGAGTCAGTGTTGAGAGGCTGGTTGAGGGATTTTTCTGTATCTTTTCATCTGTGATTTAAATTAATCCTATATCAGGATGGACAAGTCAAAAGTGGATTGAATGAGGTATTTCTCACACCACTGGTTTGTAGCAGGCAGGTGAAGGAGAGACTTTAATATGCCACTTGTCATATTAAAAAAAAAATAAATTAGCTACTTAGTTGAATGTTGTTATAAAACATATAATTTTTAATTTGAAAATCCTAGCTCCTGAGAGCCAATAACAAATAGAGAAAGGGAATACTTTTTCAGTGGGACTTTTTTATAAATATATCTTAAATAAATGGAAGGTGACCATCAAACTGCTCTGTTAATATTCACAAAACTTGTATTGGACAGTTCTTGGGGTTTCTTTATTTTGAAGCATTTAAAATAAGGGCATCAGTTAAACTTGTTGTGAGATAAGTTGGGCAGTGTAGCTGCTGCAGGAGGAGCTGGCATCAAGCAGCTGTAATTGCTTTTTTGATTTGAGAAGTTAAGATTTTTAGATACTTTTTTCTCTCTTTCTGGCTCTTTTGAGCTTTAAATAAAGCATGTTTATTTTGAATAGCATTTTTCCCAGGCAGCAAATCTGCCCATGGGGCTGTTATCCAGGGGGAGAGAAGAGGCCTGGGCTGCCTGGGGGCTGGAGGGACCTGCCCCGTGGGGACAGGGTGCTGAGTCTGGCTCAGGGGCTTTCTGAACTAAAGTGCCTGGAACTCAGTGGGAAGAACTGCAAGTGTTTTCCTCTTTTTCTGTGTGAAAAATGTATTTCTGGCTTACTCTGATACAGCCATCCACCCTGAACCACTTTCCCTGTGTGCAGGCACCCTGTTTTTCTTCTTCTAGCGGCATCAACAGAGGAGGGCAGATCTCACCTGCCTTTTCCTTTCTCCAAAAGTGCTACTTATCTGAGTAAGCTGAGCAGCATCCCTGGTGCCAGGAGCTGTGGCCGGGGCTGTCCTTTGGGAGCCTGCGCAGGGACACAGCCTTGCTCCTCAAGTCTTCACCTGTATGGCAGCACAGGATGCACGGCAGGAATCCCGCTTTGCCTGCCACATCGTGGTGTCAGAGCGGGGACATCCAAGGCACAAACTGTTGGAAAAGATCAAGAGCAGAGTGAGAAGAGCAAAGTTGAAGGAGAAGGCCGGTTTTGTTCGTGTCTTGAGCAATCCAGCCACACATGCGGTCTGCTTGGTTTTGAAGTCAAAGCTCTTCTCCTTTTCATTACCCAATCTCTTTTTTTAAATACAGCACTTTATCCCTGGTTCTCAGCAATTGGTTTCTGCTGCAGGGTACCGAGAAGGGTTTCTGTGGAAGAGAGGACGCGACAACGGGCAATTCTTAAGCCGAAAATTCGTGTTATCGGAGCGGGAAGGTGCACTGAAGTACTTCAACAAAAATGACGTGAGTACCTGGGGTTGCTGTATGCAGACAGGGGATCACAACGGTTTTCATAAGCACTGAGTCCCCAGTCACGCAAGGAGAAGGGTGCCAGGTACAGCTCACCACTCTCTTTAGTAGGGTTTGCTCTTGGTCCACCAGAGCCTCAGTCATGGTGAGACACCCTAACTGACCATTTTACACATTCCTGCTCTGTTGCCCTTTAAAGTTGATAAGGCTTTTCTTAAACTGCTAATGAAGGAGTTTTTCTCAGCTCTGGTTCTGCATCATCCAACTGACGTGGGTTTCTTATTTATGGCTAGCTTGTGATGAAGGTATCACCACCTTGCAGTGGTCACTGGTGTCTGAAATCTTTGCATGGCATGGCAAGCAATCTATAGGAAAAGCTCCCTGGTTTTCTGTTCCAGTGTCAAGCAGTGTGGAAGCATTTGTCTTTTTCCCTAGAGCACATTTCATTTATTGTAAGTGAGAAAGGAATCTATTACCATGAAAATTGCATTTGCGATGAATGGACAGACACTCTACTATTCTGCACCATGTAATGGAGGAAGCCGAGGTGTTTTCCTTGACCTTTGAGTCTCCTTTGAACATCACAGCTGAGAGCAGCCCAGACAAGGCCACCAGGCAGTTTTCTCAAGTAGTTGATGCAATCATGGTGTCATGATGAGCCACGCTGTGCAGAGGAGGGAAACATTCATCCACAGTTCTCCACAGCTGGCAGACGGCTTTGATAGCACCGTCTTCTTCAGCTCGGTGTGGTTTGGTACAATTTCACCTTGTGGACAGGAGAGAGCCAGTCATTACCGAGGGAGAAGTGAAAGTCCCAGCAGCCCCCATTCAGTCACTGTTGACTGCTCCAGTAGATTAAAGCTGCTTTGCTTTGTTGTGGACCACAGCCATGGTGGGAACGGCGCTGTCCAGACACATCCTCTTGGCTGGGATTTCCCCGCTGTGGTCACCTGAGACGGCTGCGTGTCTCCGGCAAGTCCCCAAGTTCCCAAAGCAGCACTACTAGCATCTCTGCCAGCTCAGGGAGTTCTGCATGGTGCTGGGGACCATGGCACCACCACACAACCTTCTGCTGGCCCCTGGCTGTGCCCTACAACTGATGTTCCAAGAGCCTAATCTTTATGTTTTTTTGGATGTTTTATTCATGCTTGCTAGTTCATTTCTCAGTGCAGTCCTGAAAGGGATGTAAACTTCTAGAGATGTTTTCTAGGAAGAACAACCGTGCTATACAGTTCAAGTGACCTGCCACAGAGGGTGCAGGTGGGATTGGTGCCTGGGAGGGCCTGATCCAGACTCACTGTTGGGCTAACCCACCCAAAAGGTGAACTGTAAGGTTTATATTTATCCCCCTGAGAAGAAAATTCCCAGTTTGGAGGGCAAGAGGAGGAGCGGAGCCAGAAGCCAATGGCTCATGTAAGAGGGTGGGACTGGTGGGGATGTGGGCATGGTATCCTCTGCCAGTCTAGCACCCAGATCTGAAGTTGGCAAGGGGGGATAATCCTCTGTCTTCTTGGCCAAGGATGAACTGCTGTGGGTTCTTGAGATGCAGAGAGCATCCTGGCCTGTTAGTTAGCAGTCTGCTTTTTTGTGTTTGGTCTGTCTGAATGGTTTTCTTTCTTTGATAGCGCTCATCCCAATGTAATGCTGGTCACTTATCATTAGGTAAAGAGTCTGGAAGAGATCTAGGGGTCAGGAGACAGTTGAACAGAAGCTGAGACAGGAGGCAGGGTGAAGATGCTTGTCTTTATAGCATAACATCCTATCATGAGACTTGGCCTGTCCATCTTTTCTGGGCTGAAACCTTTGTCCCCTTGAACTCTGCTGAATTTTGCAGAAGAACAGAGCATTTTTCCAGGCTGGCAGAAAGCACTCACTAATACTCGAACAAAGTCTCTTGATATCTCATCACCGGACAGTTTTGTGAGCTGGGAGTAATTTTTTTTTTAGCTAATGGCCTCAATCAGGAGTTTTTTTCTGATCAAGTGAACTGCTTTCTGGTTTGAAAGCCAATTCTCAGGTGTTTGCTCACTCAGCTGTGTTTTCCAGGCAAAAGAACCCAAAGCAATTATGAAGATCGAACATCTAAATGCAACTTTCCAGCCTGCAAAAATTGGGAACCCACACGGACTGCAGATCACTTACTTGAAGGACAATAGCACAAGGAATATCTTTGTCTATCATGAAGATGGCAAGGTGAGAGTGCGAAGGTAACAGAAGGATTTGGTTGTGGTCCTGGGGGTTGATGCTGCTGAGAGACAGCCTGTGGCACACTGGGCTCTAACCAACCTGGGAATTGTTGGGGGTGTGTGGAAGAGATGGGGGTACAGGGTGCACAAGCAGCTTTGAGCGTGTTTGTCATGTCCTTCCAAGCATGGAGGTTGCAGACCGTGTCTTCTAAATAACAAGAAGCAAATGGAAGGAATTAGTGTTCCTCTGCTTTCAACTAGATGTAGGGGAAAGGCATTTTTTTAAGGCAGGCTTCTTGGTGCCTGGAGAAGGAGATGGGGTGAATGGAGCAATGAAAGGTGAGAGGACTTGTTCTGAGGACTTGTGGAAGTCCTTAGAGTCAACTAGATTGTAGAACTGAGGAACTGGTTGTTTCTCTGCCTGTCTTGTACTTCATAAAATGCAAATCTGCATGTTTGTATTGATGTAAAACCACTTGCTTCAATACCCTCATGCCTCTGAAGGGGGGTGTGAAGAAGAGGGAGGCCAGGGCAGGGAGGGGGGGTCCCAGCCCTCCTGGAGGCTGCCAGAGGAGTCCCAGCCTGGGGGGGGTGTCACTGTGAAGAACTGCAACAGTCACGGTGCTGCCCTGTGGATCTTGTCTCCACGGACTGGTGTCCACTCAGAGAGCAGTCCCAGGCGAGTTTGCAGTGGGTGCCATCTCACAGCCTTATTTTCATCTCTTTCTTTCCTCCCCCAAATATTTGTGTCTCCCCATGAAATATCAGCAGCCCTGGAGTGGCCTGAAGAGCCCAAAGTTGTCATGTTCACATCGCGTTTGCTTTCCTCTGGCTGTTGTAGTGCCTTCAGCCTTTGATGTTACATCCCGCTCAGCACTCTGTCTCTCAGAGGCTTTCTGGGGGCAATCCCTCATGGACGGTCACGGCAGGGATTTGCGGGATTGTCTCGGTGCACAACCCATTCCCAGCTGTTCACCCAGGCACAGCAAGCCAGGCAGCCCTGCTGGGGATAAGCAGTTTGTGCTCATAGCAGTCGCTTCTCTCCAGACTTTACAGGCCAATAGTGCAACCAAAAAAACAGGATATTCTTCACTTGTGGGTGAGCAAAGCTGGTCTGGCCTCTGCTGCTGCTCAGGCTCTGGTTGCGGTGGAGCCGGGTGATGCCTGTCGTGCTCACAGGGCTGCGCTGCAGAGGCTGGATGTGGTTCCTGTGTAGTGCTGGCACTCCTGGCAGGAGGCAATTAGCGTGTCAGGTTGGGTTAATTAGTAGCATAGGCTGGTTTGAACCTGCACAGAAATGTGTGTGTAATATGCGTGCACACATGTGTACAAGTGTATAATAGACATACGTACAATAGATGAATGAGTGCCTGTGTCTGTGCTGCTGCTTACAGATGTATAAGGGAAGTCTCTCTCTCTCCCCTGCTCTATGTATATGTTTGTCTAGAAAAAGAAGCAACGATGACCACTTAAAACTAGGCAGGTCTTGCTGCTTGGTAGGAAGTGGCACAGCGTGGCCATGCCCATGTACCTTCTGCTTGCTGGGCACACAGTGATTTATTAACCGGGCTGTGTCTCTCCAGCCCCGTGCTCCAGTTCAGCCTGCCCGGCCTCTCACACCCTGCAGCACCACGGGGTCTTGCTCTGTGCATTTGCAGGTCCCGGAGAGCTGATCTGGCAGGGCTGCTTCCAAATTTACCCTCCCCTTCATCCGCTCTGCCTGGTGGGATATGCGAGTCCTGCGGCACGGAGTAGGCATTGCTTGTCACCAGGTGCTGCTTTAGCACAGCAAAGTATCGCTGTGTTGCTCTCAGGTACCTCCCTGGCCACAATTTAAACTGAAATAAGAGGAAGAAACTCTTTCCTGTGAAAGCTGCATCCCACTGTTGTGCCCGTGTGGTTGTTTGGTTTCTGTGTTTTAAATGCTAAGCTTTCTGCTGGGAGTTCGTGAAAGGAGCAGTCTTGCAGGTCTCACACATTTGCTGCTGCTTTCCTGACTGTGGTTTGGCAGGACACACTCTGATGCCATCTGATAATCCGCAGGTTGAATTTCTTTTCACTTCCCTGAAAGTGGTCTTCCCCTTTGGCTGAGCGAGGGCTGCAAGAAGATGACAGCCCCTGGGGTAAATTCCTGCCCTTTGGGACCAGAGGCTGCCCTGGGGTCCGCCTCCGATCCCCCACTGCCCTTCGCTCCCTCCCGTACTCCCCCAGCAGCCCCAGGGTGTCCCCTCGTACCCCAGAGGTGCTGCCTCTCCCCTAATCTGAAATGCTTAAGCCTGATTTAGGCTCCTGTCTTGTATTTCTGGGGTTTAATCCCTCCTTCCCTAATCCTGTCACCAATCTAGCTGGCCTCCTATTGGGGCAGTATTTTTTTATTTTTTTTTTTTTTTTGCTTCCGCTGAGCATCTCGGCAGTAATCCAGAGCATTGCATGCTGCTCTCCACTTGGGTCTTCTGCTACAACACCCCAGAAGAAAATGGGCCTGTCTCTCAAATGGGATAATCCCACATGTGCTTATTTAACCCCTAAAACATCTGGGAGAGCCCTGCTGCCCTGGTGGCATTTGCTGGAGTAAGTCACCCAAAGGGATAAAAGACAGACGGCCGAAGCGGGTCACCGTGCTGCTGCCCCAGAGCTTCATGGGGTGAAACAGCATCATGCAGCTTGGCTGGAGATGTGGTTCCTGGGTGACCTCAGCCTGGTGGCTTTGTCAGCTCCTCAGTGTGTCCTGATGGCAAACGGGAGACTGAAACCAGCCCCAGCACCCTGCTCAAAATAGGCATATCGGGGTGCTTTTGTGATGTGGGTGTCTAAGGACAGCAGGTGCCTGGAGGGGCAGGGCAAGATGTGTCTTGGGCTCTGACCATTTCCAAGGATGTTGTTAACACCCACCACTGTACTGAGCCAGCCCGGGTGAAGCTGAGGCTCCTGTTGGAGCTGGAGACCGATGCTCTGCGTGGGGTGACCCCTCTGTGCAGACTGCCCCGTGTGCTGGAGGGACTGTCCCTCCTGTGGGCGTCAGGCTGGAGCCAGCCTTTACCTGCCCCCGGATCTCTGTCGGGTGTGGGAGGCAGGAAAGCTGCAGGAGTGGATTTCCCACGGCTCTGAGCTCCTCTCCGGGGCTGAAGCTCCCTCTGCAGGTCTTCTCCTGGAAGCTGCTGCCATCCCTGGTGTCACCATCACCCTTAGGATGCTCAGAGGTGGGCTGAGTCTCCAGGAAAAGCCACCCTTTAGGGTGCAAACCAAGATCTTCAGATGTTCTCTGGACAAATTCTTCCGCGGTGCTCCTCCTTTCATGAGCCACACCAGGAGCTTTCAGGATGGGAAGAGGTGGCATGAGGGATCAATCAGCAGCAATGGAGGGGCTCATTGCTTGAGCTCCAGGGATGGATGAGTAGAAGGTACGGTGAGAGTAAGTTGCATTTTTATCTGGGGTTGTCAGTCTGAGTCTGCCATGGCAATGTGGGTGGCTCTGGTGCAGGATGGAGACTGGAGAGACACTGGGGTGGCACACGGAGGGGGAGTCTGCGGTGGCACCGCAAGCAGACCAGAAGGAAGTTGAAAGCCTGGCAAAGCCCTTTGCAGAGGTTCAGGCAGTAGTTCATTTCCTCTGCTTGCCCCAAGATGTAAATCAGTGAGAGGAATCTCTGCCAATGAGCTAATGAGACAACACCTTCCCGTCTGAAAACGCTGAGCAGTTTAATGTTGGTTTAATACATCAGACATAAGCGCCTCAGTCTATCTGTGACATTGTTTGCAGTTATACACGCAGAAAATTGTTAGCAATTGTTAGCCTTCTGGCTTTGCATATGCAGGTATAGGTTTGTATAAAGAAAGGTGGTGGTACGCCTTCCTCCAGTGATGGATGATCAATATTCCGAGAAGCAGTTGACTGCTGGAAGTCAGTGAGGGTTTCAGTCTCTGCTTTTCTGCAGGGTGAAGCCCTATCTCACATAGCGATTGAGGAGACGACGCACACACACACACACACACACACACACACAGAGCCATCCAGTTGGTGACTATATGAAATGCCAACATTTTAACATTACAGCTTATTGTTCATTACCTCAAGCCTGGTTTGGTCATCGTTAAGTTCAGGAGCCAATTCCTCTCACTGATCTTCTTTGTGCTGCTACCTGGGGCCTGCTTAGCTGCTTGGGGTAGGAAAGCAAGTGAAAAGTAAGTAAAACCTCAGACAAGTAGATCAGAGTTTTCCAAAACATTGTTCGTGTATGTCCTATTATGTTTTGGTTTTTGTTTTCTTTTTTTCCCCTTCAACTTGAAGTAGATTAACAAACCAAAGCAAAGCGTTTGAACTTTTAGAGGGTGGCTATTTGCCATGTTAGACCTTTTTGAGATACCCCCAATTCAACTCCTTAAAACTGAGATGTCCAAAATAGGAGCCTTTTTTCTTTTTCCCTTCAATCATTTTTAAAGTGTAAAAATGTTTAAGTCTTACTGAAGGGCAACTTCTACTTTGATATGGTCTTTCCTACACTACAGCAACCTCACCTGAGAGGGTTGACCATGTTGATTTTAGGATCAAGTCTGACTCATTGAACTCGTCCCTGATATGTGAAGCTTCATGTGTGTTAATAGTTCAGCATCCTGATGAGGGCAGCTGTTACATCTGCCTTCCAACATGCCTTTCCTTTGCCCATACCTTTAGACCGCAAGGCGATATTTGAGAGTTCCCTGTGTGGATCACTTAAAATTAATGTGGCATTTCTCAGTGAAACCTTCAAAAAGCATCCAGAGCAGCACAAGCTCTGTGAGTCTCACCAGAGACAAATGAATAAATGAGTTTCAAAACAAAGAAGTTACAAAATAACTATTTTGTAGGGGGGGAATAAAAAAAAAAAAAAAAAAAAAAAAACAGAGGGAGATTTTTGCCGAGGGCATGAAGAAGCGCCAGAGCTTCTGGGAATTGAGCTGGGACTTCAGTATCATTGTGCTTGTCCCTAGAAGACTCGTAGATATGACTGATAGGCTGCAGTGCAAAGATAAAGAGATATCTAGCCACTCTTAGCAAAACACTGAAGTATGTTCCTAAAATTTGGGTGGGATTCAGGCGTTGCTCGCATGTCCTGCCCGCAGTGGGTGCTGGAGGGATGGGGTGGGCAGGGAATGGTGGGCAGGCTGCAGTGGTCAGGCTGCCTTTGCCCCCCACCAGCACGAGCCAAGCAGTGTTTATAGGGTCAAACTCAGTGCTGGGCTCAGTCCCTCAAACGCTGATTTGTTGCTGGTTTTGCCAGTTCAGAGACGTGCTTGAATCCTTCCCTCTGCAGAAAGCCCCTTGGTGCTCAGTGGGGGCTGCAGAGCTCCGTGCATATCTTGCAGCCCAGGACAGCATCTGGATGTTCCCCATCCTTCACCCGTTTGCTGCTCTTTTATGTCTGTATTTTATTTTCTTAGGACTGCTGCTAAACTGCACTCTGCCACTTGGGACAAAGCAATGGGAGAGATGAAACGCAGCAGGATCACATTATTTTAGGTGCAGACTACATTGCTCACTATGCTTTTCTTTCTCATTATTAGGAAATAGTGGATTGGTTCAATGCCATCCGGGCAGCACGTTTTCATTACTTACAAGTGGCATTCCCTGGAGCCAGCGACGTTGACGTGAGTTCTCCTGCAGTTATTTTTTTTCTTCTTTTGCTCATTTTTATCATCTTGTTAACAAGCTGGAAGGCTCGGAGAGTGCTCCATCCTTCAGAGCATTTTACAATTACTGGGCTGAAATTATTGTGGTGGGATGTTGAGCCCACGTGCAGCACCTGTTACCAACATCCAGCCTTGGAAACCGTGTGCGTGTGCATGCACACATGTTCACCCTCAAAATGTGAGTCGTGCGTATGAGTAACTCCAGCACTGTCACGCGTGCAGAAGCCATAAGTGTTTTTTGCAAAGATTATTGCTGTAATATTAAAAGCTGAAACAAAGGATGGAAGGTAGAAAAGATAAAACCAAAGGAATGTCAGTGCTGTACCTAGGCCTCTGGAATGAGTTCTTGTGTGTGCAGGTCAATGCAGTCTGTCTTATGAATCTCTGTCATGTATTTTCTGGGAGCTGGAACTGCTAATTGCATTACCTTTTGTTAATATAATACTAGAGGCAGTATTAATTCAAGCTGACAGTAAGTGCCTTGTGTTGCAGTTGCACTGCAATTGGTGTGTAACGTCACTGGTTGTTGTTGTTGATTGCTCTCTGTTACCTCCTTCACTTTGTAGATTTTGAAACCTAATTGCATTACCTGCCTTGCATTACTTACCTGGGAGGGGTCCAGTTGTGATCTGGGGCTGGCTCTGAGCTGCAGGGTAACTCTTGTCCCCCTCTGCCCATGAACCCCGAGGAGCCCCGGAGCCAAAGCCTTCCCGTCAGACCCACGCTCAGACATTGTCCTCACCCATGGGGAGATAAAGAAGAATGGTCCCACAGATGGTATCTGATCCCCCATGTGAGGGACTTCAGACCATTTTCTGAGAAGAAGTTAAACTGGGCAGATATGAAAAAACGTAAGAGCCTCGTTAGCTAGCTATTGTACAGGTGCTGTGCAGTGTATATTTTCCTTAATAATTTCTGCTCCTCTCCATATCTTCTACTTCTCTTAAAGTTAGTTGGCACATCTGAATCAAACTGTCCCAAAAAAACCCCACAGACCTTAATAGAGTTGCCATTTGTCCAGCAGTTGGTGAGAGTGTTTATATGCTCACCCCCTGGCAGTTTCTGTGGGAGATAAGCTATTTATATTTTTACTTATTATTCCTTTCTCATCAGTTATTCTTTGGAGGAAACAGAGGAGTGTAATGTTTAGCAAGGTTTAATTTATGACCTTGAAATACTTCATAGCGCTCAGCCTGGGGAGACCTCTGTGGAGACTGGGTTATATACACGAGGTAGCTCCATCCTGAGTGTTGCCATCATTAGCATCTAATTTATGATTCCTTTACCCTGTCAGAGAGATGAAAAGGCATTTATTTTAAACAGGAGCCAGGTTAAATGTGGTAGAGAGGTATAAATTGCTCACACCACCCTAAGGATGCTCAGGCTGCCACTGCAGCTCCTGGGGAGCGAGGATCTCTGAAGGTCTTCGAGGACCCATCTGCAGGGTGGAGGAACCTCTCAGCCACGGGTGACGAGCTCCTTGATTAGCAAAGTGTCCTCAGCCCTGTCTCAGGAGCCAAACACCGGGGCTATGAACGCTGCAGAGCCTTTCACTGCCCACGATGAAATGTCCAAGATGAAGATGTGCCCGGCTGCTGTGGAACAGCGCTGTCATTCTTTGGGCTGTTGTATTTTGGGGTGTCTTTGCCTACAAGCACCTGCCTGCTAGATGAGAGCTGCTCTTGGGCAGAGTTAGGTGTTGCAGGAGTGGCAAGTGGAGTCATTAATAACCTGTTTAAATTGAAGTCAGGGGCGGGGAGGCGCATGGCCAGGTTCGTCTGCCCTGGTTTTGGTGAGACTCATCTTTCAAGAGGCTTTTAGAGGCATCTGAAAAGATCTTGCAGCTACTGCCTTGTCTTTGCAAAGCAACGTTAAAAATATCCTAGGTACTGGTAACTGTTGTCAGCAATATCTGCAGGCAGGGGTAGTGCACAGGCAGCATGTGTTAATGGGGTTTTACAGGCAAATTATACTTCAGAGCTTGCATGAGGAGCTCCCACTGCATCTGGTGGAGGAGATGCATTGCCAGAGCTGACCGGTAAAGTGGGATTTGTCGCGGGGGCTTCTCCTGGAGGCTGCTGGTTCTGCTGGTGAAGTGCTCAAAGATGCTTCATGATTTCTGCACCCACCTCTTCTGCGCACTTTGGAGGAGTGGGACCAAAGCATTCAGCCAGAGCTGTCGGGTGGGCTTGGGACGGGGGCGAGCTCGGCATAGGCCTTCCTCCCAGTGCCCCCCTAACCCTGCTCCACATGCCTGGTGACCCCCCACCTCCCTCCATCTGATGGTGCTCTCTTTTCTTTCCTCTTCGGCTGTCCCAGCTGGTGCCAAAGCTTTCTAGAAACTACCTGAAGGAAGGGTACATGGAGAAAACGGGACCAAAGGTAGGCTATAAAATGTTTCTGCAGTCCCTTTAAACATGAGTCTTGCTCTGTGCAGGTCTGAGAAGGGTCCACTGGTGGGACAAACCCACCCTTGCCAGAAAGGCAAAGCCTTAATGCCATGAATACATTAACGCACTCCCTCACCTGGGAGTAAATATTAAAAGAAATCTAAACCCAACCACCTCATCTCACCCCTCAGTGCCTGTCCCTGCAAAACCACCCGGTCCAGCTGGCCCAGACCCTAGCTGTGCTGGCCCAGAAGCTGCCAGTTCCCAACTCTCTCAGCCCATCAGGCTCTTCCAAGAGCCTTGATACTCCTAGGTCATGCCCAGTAAGAGGAGCTGTGCTGCTTTGGTGTGTAATCCGACATTTTTTGACTCTTCAGCAGACAGAGGGATTCAAGAAGCGATGGTTCACCATGGATGACCGACGGCTCATGTATTTCAAAGATCCCCTGGTAAGATGAAGTTGCGTGCACTGTCTGCTGGGAATAGTCTGTAGTAATAATAATAATTAATAATTATAATAATAGAATAATAGTATACAGTGAAGCTCAGGCTGGTGGGAGAGCCATGAGGGCACTGAGCCATCACTGCTAGGTGGATCTGCCTGGTGTACAGTGTGCAGTAGCCCCATGCACAGATATTCACCAAAAATGCTTCAGAAACCCTGTGGACCAGCTGTAGATATTTCTGCAGCTGAATTTTGGATCCCTGGTGTTGGTCCCGTATTGTGGGTGCTCCTGGGAGGAGCTGGAGTGGGGTTTTTTGGGGTGGTTGGTGCTTTTGGTGTTTGGCTGCTGCACTTTGCTTGATGAGGGTTCTGGATGGTGCAGGGTGAGCCGTGTCCTGACTGCCCGGGACACGGAGCTCCCCTTCACAGTCACGCCTGCCTGACTGCTCTGCTGTTTCCTAGGATGCCTTTGCTAGAGGGGAAGTTTTTATTGGGAGCAAGGAAAACAGCTACAAGGTCCTGGAAGGGCTCCCGCCATCCACACAGGGAAACCACTGGCAGCACGGGATCACCATCGTCACCCCAGATCGGAAATTCCTCTTCGCCTGCGAGACAGAGGACGACCAGCTGGAGTGGATTACAACTTTTCAGAAAGTTATAAGCCGGCCGATGCTGCCTCAGGAATACGCAGGTGTGTTTGCTGGCAAAGGCTGGAGGTCAGCATCAGCAACTTTATTTCCCGCGTGTTGGAGGACGGGGTGGATGGAGGGGGATCGGGGATGCAGCCGCATCGCTCCCTCCCGTGCAGTGTGAGCAGGGCAGCCCTTCCCCGCCCCGGGGAGGATGCAAAGGCTGTCCCAGCAGAGAGGGGCTCACACTGGGAGGAGGAGGAGGATGGTCTCCTTCTCTCTTCATCACCTCTGGCATGATGTCTATGGTGCTGTAAGGATGATTGGTCACCCAGTTATAATCTGAGCCAAGGAGTAGCAGCGAGACAAGGACCATCCGCAGGGTGGGCTTGCGCCAGGCTGTTGCTGCCTCCCAGTGCTTGTCCTGCTTTTAACTTTATTTTCTCTGTTTTTCCTTTCAGTGGAAGCCCATTTCAAACATAAACCTTAGGTGGGACTGGCTGGGCAGACCTGAGGAGTGAGCTTCTGTTTACAACACAACGTGGTTTTATTTGAAATGTTAAAAATAATGAAGAATAATAATAACAGTAATAATAATAATAATAATACTTCCTTTTCCCCTCATCATTCACTTGATCATGTTGGAAACCAAGAAGGGCGGCAGCGAAATGTCGGAGAAGATGCAGATCCAACCTGAAATTGGGCTCTGTGGCCGCTCCATGGGATGTGCCTCTGGGACGGGTGGTCCCGTGACCCCGTCACCCCACACCCACTGAAAGGGGTGTCCCACCTGGCTTCAGCGGGATGGTGAAGACTGTTGGTGGCACATCTCGAGGGGAGATGGGGCTTTTTTCCCCACGAGCTGGTCCCCAGGGGCTGGCGCTGAGCATCCCCAGGTCTCTGCCAGCCCGTTCCGCAGGGGGCTGCGAGTCCCTGAGCGGTGACGTCCTCGTGGGATGCGAAGCACCAACCTGGGAACAGCTGAAATGGTGATGTGTGAAATGGCTGAGCCTCCCGACGACGTCGGGGTAAACGATAAGTAAATTACCTCACTGGGGGCAGTGGTGGTGACGTTGTACCCAGGCTAGGCTCAAAAGGCATTTAGAAATAGAGGAAATTGGCCTCGTTACTGCTTAACGAAGGGCACGAAGGAGGGGTACCCAGTGGGGGGGGGGGGTGTCACTGAGCCATGACATAAGGCCAGGCAAGAAAAGCTTTTGGGGTTGGGGCCCATGCTCTGCTCCCTGGGTCGTTCCTGTTTCATGTTTTGGGGGGGGTTCACACCATTTTGGGAGCATGGTATGGGTGGGGGGGGTTGAGCTTTAGGTGCAGTTCTGCTGACAGGCACCCCAAAAGCCTGGCCCAGCCCAGCCCTGGCTGGTGCATCCCTCCAGCCGATGGCATGTTGCTTCTCCAGACTGGTGGTTGCATCTTTTTTTCAATAATTATATCAATTTTTTTTTATTATTTTTTTTTCCTTGCCAAAAAAAAAAAAAAAAAAAGCTGCTTGAAGTGACGTTTCAGCGCTGTGGTGAGCACTGTAATTCCTGCGGTAGGGGCGGACGGGCTGGGACCTGCACACCATGTGCTGGATTTTTACCCCAAAATGAAATTTCTGGCATCTGCTGAAGTACCGGCCCCAGACACTGACCCGTCCGACGCGTTTCTTACGTTGGTGTGTATAAATGAGAGCATCTCATCGGCTGTATGCATTTGTTCTGTCACTGGTAAGACAACTGTGGTACTAAATGTCATTCAAACCAATAAATTATTATGTCAGAGCTGTGGCTGTGTGGTGCTGGGGCAGGGGGGAGGGGGGTGAGGTGGAGTTAAAAATAAGTGAAAGCAAGGAAATGACGGTGCTGTCAGAGCCCCGGGGGTGCAGGACACCCACAAAACCATCTGTGCCCCCCTCCCCGGGCTGCTCAGGGCGGGGGGGCAGGGAGCAGCTGTGCACACATGCATGTCTGTGTGTCCGTGTGCCCCCAGTAAATATATTTCATGTAAGCTTTACCAACGTATTTATGTACCTGTTCTGGGTTAAACGCAGCCGGCAGCCAAATGCTCGGGAGACGGTTGAGAGAATTGGAGGGGTAAAGGTAAGGGGACTCGTAGGTTAAAAACAATTTAATAATTGAAGTATAATAAAGGTAAAATGATGATAGTAATAATAGAAAATATGAAGGAGTAATGCACACTGTGATTGCTCACCACCCGCCAACTGATGCCCGGCCAGTGACCCCAGAGAGAATCCTGAAAGCCCAGCCCTGGAAGCGAGAGGCGTGCCGGACTGCCCTCCCCTGCAGATGGAGCAGGACACGGTAGGATCTGGAATATTCCCTTGTCCCCCCTGGGCCTGGGGCTCTGGCCCTGCTCCCTCCCAGCTTCGTGCCCACCCGTGCACGGGCAGGACATGGGAAGCTAAAAAGTTCTTGATTTCATAGCAACAACTGAAAACATGAGCACACTGTCAACATTCTTCTCATGCTGAATCCAAAACTGTTCTAGTTACCAGGAAGCAAAAAAAAAAAAAAAAAAAAAAAAAAAAAAAAATAGCTCTCAGACAAAACCAGGACATTGTGTTATCTAACACACTATATATTGTAATTAGTCTATATGTGTGTATTAGTGTATATTGTATATATTTTATATATAATACTGATTTTGTATTTATGTATGCACAGACATACATGAAAGACACATATTAGGAGTATATAAATAAATTCTCTGAGTTGCTGACTATTCACAGACACCACTATGAGCTGTGCATAGTAGATGCTGCAGAATATATAATACACTTTTATGGGAGGGTGTGCATGGTATGAGCTGCATATAGTTCATATGAAGACATGCATGTGTATATGTAGCTATCTTTAGACATATACGTTTAATTTATAAATATATGTTAAATGTATTTCATACACGTCTGTATATGGAGACATTTTTATACTTACAAATTTATAAAATATTTAATAATTATAAATATATACATGTACATGCCTTTATATATACCTTTATATAGGTATAAAGGATATAACAAATTTATAAATTTAAGAGAAAAATACTGCATATAAATATATATATCCACATGCATAGGTGTATGCCTAACTATAGATAGGTATTTAATTTATATTAAAAGTATTTATAAATATATATTTTACACACTATCACACTTAAAAAACGCAGGCAGGTCAGGAGCAGGGAGAGGACAGGCTGGGCTGGTTGTTTGTCTTTAGAGTTAGCTATAAAGATTGCGTGCGTGTATAATTAAGAAAAATATAAGTAATATTATAAACTATATGCTATATAATTATTTAATTATAAATTATTATATACACAAAAGGCTGTTTATATATGTGTGTGCATATGTATATTTTAATATACGTTATACACACATGTATATACCATTGCCATGACTATGTATTTTGTACGTGTGCCCGGGGCACTGCCTGCCCCGCAGGTGGGGGTTCGGGGGGTGCTGGGGGAGGCAGCAGCCCAGACTCCCCCGAGCCCGGGGGACACGTAACCTGCTGCCCTGGGGGCCACCGGGCACCCCAGCTGGCCCAGGACAGGCCCGAGCGCTGGCAGGCACAGGCTGGAGCGCTGCCCCGCTGCCCCCAGAGCGTTTATTTATTCAACATCCACAGCAGCAGCCCGGGCAGGGCGTGCGTCCCTCAACCTGCTGCAAACCCGAGCGATCTACATCTGCTCCAGCCATCGCAGCACCCAGCTAAAGCTGTGCCTTTGCTGCACAGAGGTAAAGCTGCAGCACTGAGGTCTGGCTGACCCACAGTCAAATGCACAGAGGGGAAAAAAAAATAGCAAGGAAAGTAAGAGCTCTGCTTGTAAAACTCTTCAAAAGCAGCAATACCACACATCCTGGTATAAACTGTTTATTTGAGACTTCACAATTAACACAAAGTCTTCCTTTCAATGCCTTTTCTTTTTCATACAGTCAATAAATTTGTATTAGTCCCTCCCCCATGCATGATTGCTGTTTATTAATCTAAGCCTTTTTATTATCATCGTGAAAAAATAAAGCGTTTCCCCACCATTTCATTTGTTCACTGTACCACTGACATCCACTGTGCTGCATTAAAGAGGAGATGTAGAATGGCTATGCCTACCACTGGGGTTGAAGTTACTCCATTATTTATCGATTTATTCTTTTTTTACAGAAAGTGTTAAATGAATCAATCACCCAAGAAAAATAAATATATCATAAAGAACCAAAAGTTCTGCAGTATCCCTTTTCTTTACATACAGCTGCAGTTCAAACACATACATTGCTTGTGGCAAATAATTTCATTCACTGTAATGCCATCACCTTTACGTATGGTTGTGAACTTACACTGAAAAAGAATCTGTTCCAAAGGAGTAGAGCCATGAGCCAGAGGAGGTACTTTAGATGCCAAATTTTTACACCTAGGCAAGAGATCCACATGAAAGCCAATTACCTGTGTTCCACTGATTGGCTTTTACTCAAGAGCAATTCAATCTTGTGCTTTTCAGGAAGTACTGGCTAAACACACGCACGGGCTCAGCCAGAGCCAGACCTTAAGTCGAGTGAAAGGCAGTATGAATGGCGCGTGTGACGGCAGTGGAAGCGAGTTCTTGGTATCAATGCCTCTTGGATGTGCACCTCAAATTATGCTGCTTGGCTCGTCTCGCAGTACTTTTGGCACCAGCCTTGCAAATAAATTATTCAATTGATCACCCTGCCTTTCAAGATCTTCCTTGGAGGTGGCGGAGGTCAAGGAAGCTTTCTCGCAACAAAGACAGCATTGGGTAGGCCGTGAAGTACAAGACCCATATTTATGCTTTATTGAATTACTGTGCAAAAGGGAATACTGCATCAGAAACCGTAGAAGACTATATTTTAATCAAAGTCACCAGCCGCTGTATCGGAAACCTGCTAACAATTGCTCCGATTAGTTCATTTGGCTACTTTTTGTTGGTTTCTTTCTTTTTTTTTTACATAAATAATATAGACCAAACATTATAAACATTTCAGCAACCATTTCTAAAAGACCAGAGGAGCCCTTTTAGGCGCCACGAAACAACTGCAGGATTCAAATTCCAAAACTGTCTTTGGAGTCATCAAATCATCAGATTTACACGGCACCCAATGACAACAACATTCAGTCGAGCTCGATAGGACTGCTATCTTCCTGACCATCTTCTGTGTCATCATCTTCTCCAGTTCCCATCAGACTGTTTAAAAGATTTCCTAGAAGAAAATACAGGACAGTCAACAGTGTTAGTTTTACAATCCCATCTGAAAAACTTTTAACTATTCTCCTTCCATCCTGCTAGGGTGCAGATTTCAATAATTAAAAAAAAAAAGGGAGATTTTGAAGTGACAGAGTCTCAGCAAGTCATTAGTATTCCCACACCAGTTTCCATTAAGAATTTATTGGTTTAGGAAGCTGCATTTTGATACTGTTCCTTCTCTAAGAACACACTGGAAAAAAAACACACCAAAGTTGCATACTTATGTACTATAGTTGCACCCTGTCGGGGATAAAAAAAAACAACTAAATGAGAAAAGACATGACTCCAGCAGTAAAACTCTCAAAAAGCAGCAATGTTCTGCAGCACGCTATAAAGAACTTGTTTGAGACTCAAAGGCATTTACATGTTCTTCCTGTTTTATTCAATTTAAAGACAACTGAATTGCTGAAAAGCTGTTATTTATATAGGGGATCTATGACGTTCATGTTTTTCATCAAACTTTGGGTATCAGAGAATTGACATTTGCAGGTAAAGCTTCAAGTCAGTTTACAAACAGAAAAGCTTAGTTCTCAAGGAAAGAAAAGTTTGATTTTACAAAAGTAATCCAGTTCAATTTGCTCACGTTTTATATAAGAGCCAGGAAATGAGGGCTGAATTTCTCTATTCCCTTTAATTTCTTGTAGAAGTGCAGTTTTAATTTCAGAACTTCTACTCTGGGAACATGCATTTAATATCAGCACCGGTTAGGTCTCTAGCAAAGTTCCAGACTTGACTTAAGGAAAACCAGCCACTGAAGCATGAAGAAATGAAACTTTAATACAAATAAGATTTTTCTTTACATTTGGGAGTTATACCATAATGTCAATTGTTAACTGTAAGAGTCTTTTACGTGCTTCTCCCCTTCTCAGAGATGAAAAGTCTACTAGCTTCACCAAATTCATTTCACATGCAAGCAATTAATCTCATATTCTACAGTAGGGACTGTTTCTACAGGTTATGAAAAATATGATATATTCATCAGAACAGATTCTCTGTTTCCAGCACAGCCGTTTTATATGAGCCACCGCTCTGAAGAGACTGGTGGTATCTATAAACAATTGTCAGCATAAACCTTACCTAGTAATCCTCCGTAGGACGATGTTTGCTTGGGCGGAACACCAAAGAAAAGCTGTCCTATTCTATCTAGGTACTGAAATGACACAAGATGAATAACAACGTCAGCTACTTTGTTACAGGTGAAAACACTACAGGCAGCAGTGACACCACAAGCTAGATCACTGACTCCTATCTACAAGTCACAAAACAGGAGACAATCAGCTATTATTTCATTCTGTAGGTTAAATCCTGTTTATAACTAGGAGTAACTCACCTCATTATACATGGGATCTCTTTTCAGTGAAGGTTGATACTGTTCACACAATACTGTAAATACTGTTAGTTTTCCTCTAGAAAGGAAACAACCAAAAATGTTATCTCAGCAACAACTGAAAAGAAAACCAAGAACAACATGAGAAAAATCAGACTGTACCCATCAACTGCCAATAAC